ACCTGGCCAGAGGAGGGAACTATAATTTTCATAATACTGACTCAAGTGGTTTGGAAGCAGGCAACTTTTATGAGCAAGAAGAGGGGCAACCTGTGACACATGTAAGTTACCCCAAAAATGAAAGGGAGGGAACTGGATTTGAAGAGTTGAAACAGGAGCCATCTTTATGCATGGTGACGCACACCTTTGATCCCAGCATTTGGGGAGTAGAGGCAAGGGGATCTCTGTGAGTTTGAGGTCAGTCTGGTCTACACAGCAAGTTCCAGGACAGCCAAAGGCTATACAGAGAAACCCTGTCTCTGTGTAGAAACTAGGGTGGGGGGAGTAGAAACAGCCTGGAACAGAGGATCATATTTTTATCCGAGTGGAAACCTAATTTTACTAAAATATGTACAACCTAAGTTTAAGAGGCGCCATTTTGTGGTACCTGACTGTAGTCCTGGCACTTGGGAGGTGGAGGCAAGAGTACCAGAAATTCAGTGTCAGTTTTGGCTACACGAACACTCAGCAGCTGTAATTAATCCCAGGAGACCTGCACAAAACTGGGTCCCTGGGTCACGGAGGAAGGGAAGGGCTCATAAGGCCTTCCTTCTGTGGAAGCCTGTATAAGAGGTTAAAGGATTGCTAGAGGGTTGAGATTTTCTTGAGACTCCAATAGGCACACTCTTACCTACACTCCTGTAACTCCAATTAAGATCACTGGGTACAATCTTTTCTTTGGTCTGTCTGGGGTGAAAAGATGTTTGTTCCCACCTTCAAAAAAACAAAAGACATGGTGTGGTGGCAAAGGCCATTACATCCGGCAGAGGCAGAGGTGGATGGATCTCTGTGAATTACAGGCCAGCCTGGTCTACATGGTAAGTTCTAGACCAGCCAAGGCTGCATAGTGAAATCCTGTCTATGAAACAAAAACCCAGGCTGGAGAGATGGCTCAGTGGTTAAGACCATTCGCTGGGCAGTGATCAAGATTGAAGTTGAACATCTATAACCCGTATAACAAACCATGGGCTCTGCCTACACACACCTGTAGCGCCCCAGTCCAAGTGGAGCAGAAACAGGAGGATGCAAAATTGGAGGTTCAGGGAGAGAACAAGCCTCGAGAAGAGAGAATGACAGAGGGTGTCTGGTGCCCTCTTCAGATCTCTGCCTGTGTACCTGCCCCCAACCTGACACACCCATGAAATACACTCCTTAAATAAAGATGGTGCTCCTTGACTGTATAACTCTGCAACTGACATGATTTCAGGAAGCTTCTGCAAATTTAAGCATGGCGTCCCCTCTCTAGTAGTGGTTACAGAATATAAAATGTAACTTACGAATCCACACCTCCTGTGCTGTGGGAATCACATCCAAGAGTTCACAAACGCCAGGCAAGTACTCTAAGTATAAACTGCACCCACACCTCTTTGATGTGTCTTATCTTGAACAACAGAACCATTCAGGGGGAAGGCTGTGTGGGAGCGCCCCCTAGGGAGGTGATTCTTGAGTACGGTTCTTTGAGACTTTGAACCCTGTGCTCTAGTGAGACTGGGATCCAGGCCTGCTGAACCTGTTTTCTCGGGTCAGGAACTCAGGATGGAAACAGACCTAATACCTAGATTTCAGGTTGGAAAGCCAGGGGGTGCAGACAGAGATGCTTACCACCCACCACCAGTCTAAGATGGTGCTACCTGTTCAGAGAAGTGTCGTCTCATTCTGGGATGCTAGAACAGAATGGGGCTTGGGCAGGCCCAGTGGACCACCATTTCCACGCAGGGTGGCAGGGGTGTTTTGGTCTCAGCCTGTAGCTCTGAGATGCCTCAAGTCTGAACTCTGGGAAACACTCCATAGTGTTCCATTGTGCTCAGGACTGGGGTTCTGTGAGCTCAGACACTGCTAACTCTATACAAGATGCTGAGTTAAATTCAGATGTGAATCCCTGGGACTTAAGTTTCAGATGGTGAGCCGTGATATCATGCTGGGAAAAGAACGGGGTTTTCTGTAAGAGTACCAGTGCTTTTAACCCCAGAGTCATCTCTCCAGTCTCCCAATTTCCAGGTTTTAATTTTTTTTTTTTTAAGACAAGTTCTTTTAGGGCTGGGTGTGGTAATACACAATCTCTAAGTTCAGGCCAGTCAGGGCACATGATAATCTAAATAAAAACAAAACAAGTAAGGTCTGGGGAGATGACTCATCAGTTAGGAGCACTGGCTGTTCTTCCAGAAGACTTGGGTTCAAGTGCCAGCAGGCACAGGGTAGCTCAAAGCAGCCTGTTAACTCCAGTCCCAGGGGATCTGGTGCTCTTCTGGCTTCAGTGTGTAGCCATACATTCAGGTGATACACCCACACACATAATCTTAAAAGAACAAAGCCAGGTTCTTGTTATATAGCCCAAATCGGCCTCTAGCTCAAGGCATTCTTAGGTGTAGCATAGGTGCCATCCAAGCAGAGCCAATGGAAACAGGGCATTCAAAATCAGAAATCCATTTTTTTTTTTTTTCAGACAGGGTTTTTCTGTGTAGCTTTGCGCCTTTCCTGGATCTCGCTCTGTAGACCAGGCTGGCCTCAAACTCGACCCATTTATACTGTGAGCGATTATCACCACAGCTTTTTGGTTTTTAGGGGTATAAGAGTTTTGAGTCAGGGTCTCACTGTGTAGTGCCAGCTTCTCAAGCACTGGGATTACAGGGCTGTACCACTGATGCTCAACTTAACAGTTTCTTTCCTTGCTACTGCCTAGGCTGACTAGGAGTTAGATACTCCTTTCTTAGCCCCTGGAGTGCTGGAGGATGTTCTGTATGTTGTGAAGGTGTTGCTCTAATTGGTTGACAAATTAAATGTTGATTGGCTAGTAGCCAGGCAGGAAGTCTAGGCGGGATAAGCAGACAAGGAGAATTCTGGGAAGAGAATACCAGCCTGCCATCCAGGGTACAGCATGTAATGGCACAGAGGTAAAACCACGGAACATGTGGTGACATACAGATGAACAGAAATGGGCTGAGTTTAAGTGTAAGAACTAGTCAGTAGTTAGCCTGAGCTAATGGCCGAGCAGTTGTAATTAATAAAAGCTTCTGAGTGATTATTTTATAAAAGGCTACGGGACTGTGGGTGAGAAATTTGTCCTGACCGTGGGCCAGGCAGGACAAAGAAAAACTTTCAGGTACATTTCTTAGCCCCTGGAGTAGCTGGAACTGCAAAGTTCCTAGCTGTAAAGAAGAGAGTTTATTGTACATATCCTGGAATAGAGGTAAGTGGTGATGAGCTCCTTCATCCCATAATAAAGTCAATAAAACAAGATACACTCAGTCCTCAGCACTGCAGAAAACTGGGTACTCTCAAGTAGCTCCTTGAGTTCAAGGCCAGCCTAGTCTACAGTGATATCTCAAAAAAAAAAAGAAAGAAAGAAAGAAAGAAAAGAAAGAAAGAAAGAAAGAAAGAAAGAAAGAAAGAAAGAAAGAAAGAAAAGAAAAAAGAAAAAAACAGAATGGTGCACATTTTGGTGAGAAATACTGAGGCAAGCAGATGAATGTTGAAAGTTACTACCTTCAAATGCTAGCATATACCTCTAAACACAGTATGTGGAGGACTAATACAGGAGGGTCACCAGTTCCAGAGCAGCCTAGACTATACAGCAAGACCTCTAAAAACTGAAAAGTGACCATTAAAAGAGCACACGTGCTTGGCATTAATAAACGTTTTTCTTTGTACATCAGAAACAAAATCAAAACCAAACTTAAAAGTTTTATTTTTAATTATGTGTATGGCTATGTGCCATTGCTGGACATTATTTCAAACAGGTATAAATATAGCAATTTCATAGACAAAGGGGGGGGAAAGAAACCTTCTATATTTGGCCTTTTTAGCCATCTCATATAAATCAACTACTTATAGTACAGTCAGGTACATACAAGCAAGTGACTGCAATTCTTGGAATAAGGTATTTTGCTGTTGTTTTTTAAACGAGCTGTTTTTTCCACCTTTGAGATTATAATGAACACTGTCACCACAAGTCAAGTCAGAAGTAGGACAGAACACTCTGAACACTGGTTTGGTCACTGGTCATCATTAAAATTAAATTCAAATAAAAACATACATTTTCCTTTAAAAAGGCGGGGGCAGGGCCTTGCAAGTTTGGACTCATTTTTTCCTCCCTTGTTACAGATTCCCTTTGTGGTTTTGGTGGAGCGATGAACGGCACATGTCATCTGTGGGTGGCACTGTCCGGTGTGGGAGGGTGGACCTGCTTCTCTGGGTGAAGGGGACCCCATTGAGGTTCCAGGGCAAGAAGTAACTAGATCCTAGAGGCCTTTCAAGTTTAACTTTGCCTCTGTCGCTTTCTGGACATCCTCACCAGTCTTCAGCCCCCTTGGTGTCAACATCACCTTCACCATCTTCAGCTGCCTGCTTACCCACAGCTGCCTCATTCTCCACGTGGTCCTCTCCAGCATCCTCTTCCGCACCGTCACCCTCCTCCTCCTCCTCATCTCTCCGTCAGCTGCTGCTCCCCATCAGCATGTCCATGGGCAGGTGCTTCTCTTCCCTTCTGTACCTCCTTCCCATTCTTGGTGGTGACCTCAGACTGGTGTCCACAGACAGCCTTGTCTGACAAGCCAATGGGTCAAAGTTCAAGGTTGTTGGTAAGAAAGCCACAGAGGAGACAGGTGGTGACTGTGGCCGCAGGGAGTGTGGAGCTGGGACCAGGGAACAATGTAAAGATGGCTTTTCATGCAGTCAGCAAAGAGCTTCACTTTTACTAAAGGGGAAATACGTTCATGATCAACATGGACTGACATCAATGAATTTTTATTGGCAACTACTGGAATAACACAGACGTTTTAATTACTTTAAGGATCACTAAGGCACTTTTTAATTGGGCCCATCATTTATAAAGTAGGCACTCTAACCCCTTTAGAACTCCTTGAAGCAGATTAAGAACAAAACAACTATTGTGATCGTTACAATGAAAACTGAAAAAAACAACCAACCCTCCCCCCGCCCCCCCAGACCTGCTGACTAGATCGGCTGGTTGTGTTGGCTTCTTACGGCTCAGGTTCTTCGACTGTGCAGATCTTCAGGGGTGTGAAGTGATATCCAACGTAGAAATAAGGCCAAAGGGCACCGCTAGCACAGTCGCTAAAACTGTACAGCAGGGACTTATCACGCAAATTGTAAAATGAAACCTCATGCATTTCAGAGTCTAAAAAAATTCCAACCCTATTAGGTGCTACACTGGGCAGAAGACTGATTTTCTCACGGCCCAGTGCAAAATAATTTTCCCAGTAGTTTAGCCCAACTCCCCATAATCCGTCCTGCACTGAGTACTGTTGAAAAGTACTGTTGCTGCCCCTAGGCCTTTTCCTGGGGAAGGACTCCTTACAGACCCCCACGACCCATTCATTTTTGCATTCCACATCTACCTCCCAGTACTGTCGGCCAGAACTGTATCCTTCAGACCCCAGAACAATAGGGTACCGTCGAAATCTTTTCGAGCTATATGGTAACCTCTGCCTTCCTCCATATTGCACAGCTTTTCTATCTTCTGAGACCGTAAGTTTACAGTATGCCGTTCCAGGATCCAGAAGTACATCAACTTGAAATCGCTTGATAATTCTGTCCAAGCCAGAACACTGTGGAGGAAACCGGAAGCCATACTCCTTCAGTGTAAATGAGAGTATATCAGGGCATCTGAAGCTATCGGGTCTCTCGTAGCAATCTTTAAGCCCGGTCAGCAATTCCAGTTCTGGCCTTACATACTTGCTCTTCACCTTCCTCCACAGACACTTTAAGGAAGCGATGTGGTCTGAGAACTTGGCCAGGTTTTCCTGTAGTTTGGCCATTTCAGCCGTCTCTTCGTTTTGTAACTGCTCACGCATGTTCTCTCGTTCCCCGCGGAGAAACGACCTATACTGTTGGTATTCAAGCGCCAGCTCTTCTCCTCGGCGCTCTGCCCATTTCTTCAGTTCTAGTAACCTCCTCCTTTGTGAGGCGAGTGTTTTCTCCTCTGGCTCCACCTTCTCCCTCCACAGCTTAACGTAACACTCAATATATTCCCGAGGACTGAGGGCGGCCTTCTCTATGGGCCAAACAGAGTCCCCCGTGTGACTGGGGACGAGGCTGCGCTGTGGACAGGGAACCTCTTGGTCCTTCTCCCAGGAAGTGGCCGGGACCTCTTGGTCCTTCTCACAGGAAGTGGCCGGGACCTCTTGGTCCTTCTCCCAGGAAGTGGCCGGGACCTCTTGGTCCTTCTCACAGGAAGTGGCTGGAAGCTGTTGGTCCTTCTCATAGGAAGTGGCCGGAAGCTGTTGGTCCTTCTCACAGGAAGTGGCCGGAAGCTGGAGCTGTTGGTCCTTCTCACAGGAAGTGGTCGGGACCTGTTGGTCCTTCTCACAGGAAGTGACCGGGACCTGTTGGTCCTTCTCACAGGAAGTGGCCGGCACCTGTTGGTCCTTCTCACAGGAAGTGGCCGGGACCTGTTGGTCCTTCTCACAGGAAGTGGCCGGAAGCTGGAGCTGTTGGTCCTTCTCACAGGAAGTGGCCGGGACCTGTTGGTCCTTCTCACAGGAAGTGGCCGGGACCTGTTGGTCCTTCTCACAGGAAGTGGCCGGAAGCTGGAGCTGTTGGTCCTTCTCACAGGAAGTGGCCGGAAGCTGGAGCTGTTGGTCCTTCTCACAGGAAGTGGCCGGGAGCTGGAGCTGTTGGTCCTTCTCACAGGAAGTGGCCAGAAGCTGGACCTGTTGGTCCTTCTCACAGGAAGTGGTCGGGAGCTGTTGGTCCTTCTCACAGGAAGTGGCCGGGACCTGTTGGTCCTTCTCATAGGAAGTGGCCGGAAGCTGTTGGTCCTTCTCACAGAAAGTGACCGGGACCTGTTGGTCCTTCTCACAGGAAGTGGCCGGAAGCTGTTGGTCCTTCTCACAGGAAGTGGCCGGAAGCTGTTGGTCCTTCTCACAGGAAGTGACCGGGACCTGTTGGTCCTTCTCACAGGAAGTGGCCGGGACCTGGAGCTGTTGGTCCTTCTCACAGGAAGTGACCGGGACCTGTTGGTCCTTCTCACAGGAAGTGGCCGGGACCTGTTGGTCCTTCTCACAGGAAGTGGCCGGGACCTGTTGGTCCTTCTCACAGGAAGTGGCCGGAAGCTGGAGCTGTTGGTCCTTCTCACAGGAAGTGGCCGGAAGCTGGAGCTGTTGGTCCTTCTCACAGGAAGTGGCCAGAAGCTGGACCTGTTGGTCCTTCTCACAGGAAGTGGTTGGGAGCTGTTGGTCCTTCTCACAGGAAGTGGCCGGGACCTGTTGGTCCTTCTCATAGGAAGTGGCCGGAAGCTGTTGGTCCTTCTCACAGAAAGTGACCGGGACCTGTTGGTCCTTCTCACAGGAAGTGGCCAGAAGCTGTTGGTCCTTCTCACAGGAAGTGGCCGGAAGCTGTTGGTCCTTCTCACAGGAAGTGACCGAGACCTGTTGGTCCTTCTCACAGGAAGTGGCCGGGACCTGTTGGTCCTTCTCACAGGAAGTGGCCGGGAGCTGGAGCTGTTGGTCCTTCTCATAGGAAGTGGCCGGGAGCTGGAGCTGTTGGTCCTTCTCACAGGAAGTGGCCGGGACCTGTTGGTCCTTCTCACAGGAAGTGGCCGGGAGCTGTAGCTGTTGGTCCTTCTCACAGGAAGTGGCCGGGAGCTGGAGCTGTTGGTCCTTCTCACAGGAAGTGGCCGGGAGCTGGAGCTGTTGGTCCTTCTCACAGGAAGTGGCCGGGACCTGTTGGTCCTTCTCACAGGAAGTGGCCGGGACCTGTTGGTCCTTCTCACAGGAAGTGGCCGGGAGCTGTAGCTGTTGGTCCTTCTCACAGGAAGTGGCCAGGAGCTGGAGCTGTTGGTCCTTCTCACAGGAAGTGGCTGGGAGCTGGAGCTGTTGGTCCTTCTCACAGGAAGTGGCCGGGAGCTGGAGCTGTTGGTCCTTCTCACAGGAAGTGGCCGGAAGCTGGAGCTGTTGGTCCTTCTCACAGGAAGTGGCCGGGACCTGTTGGTCCTTCTCACAGGAAGTGGCCGGGAGCTGTTGGTCCTTCTCACAGGAAGTGGCCGGAAGCTGGAGCTGTTGGTCCTTCTCACAGGAAGTGGCCGGGACCTGTTGGTCCTTCTCACAGGAAGTGGTCGGGAGCTGTTGGTCCTTCTCACAGGAAGTGGCCGGGAGCTGTTGGTCCTTCTCATAGGAAGTGGCCGGAAGCTGGAGCTGTTGGTCCTTCTCACAGGAAGTGGCCGGGACCTGTTGGTCCTTCTCACAGGAAGTGGCCGGAAGCTGGAGCTGTTGGTCCTTCTCACAGGAAGTGGCCGGAAGCTGGAGCTGTTGGTCCTTCTCACAGGAAGTGGCCGGAAGCTGGAGCTGTTGGTCCTTCTCACAGGAAGTGGTCGGGACCTGTTGGTCCTTCTCACAGGAAGTGGCTGGGAGCTGTTGGTCCTTCTCACAGGAAGTGGCCGGGAGCTGTAGCTGTTGGTTCTTCTCACAGGAAGTGGCCGGGACCTGTTGGTCCTTCTCACAGGAAGTGGCCGGGACCTGTTGGTCCTTCTCACAGGAAGTGACCGGAAGCTTTTGGCGTGTCTCACAGGAAAACTTCTCTTCCAGCTTTCTCTTCTTGGTCTTTTTTACAGGGAGCGGCTTGGCAACTTTGGTCTTCTTGGTCAGCTGTTCATTACTCTGAAAACTCCTTTCTGGGCAGTTAAAGTGGCAAACAGGGCAGGGGAAACGATCCTTTAGATCCTTCCAGAATTCACGGATGCAGGTGAGACAGAAGTTATGCCCACACTTGATGGTCACTGGGTCCTTGAAGTACTTCTTACAGACGGGACAGTGGGCCTTTGCTTGGAGGTCGGCTCGCCCTGCTTCGGGCTCCTCGGAGCCTTGTACAAAGGTTGTGGGAGAGGACATGCTGCTTCTCTGTAGCTCGAAACCAGCAAGCCCTAGTAGTGCCTGAGATCTGGAGACTGACCACTGCCTTGTTGACACTGGCTTCCGCAAACTTGGTTAGTTCTCTGTACCTTACACCAGAGTGGGCTGACAGAGTCCAGAGCCCAGGCCTACTGCATATAAGCACACGTTAGCTAGGCTGTTGCTTTCCCTGCTCAGTGATCTGCAGGCAAGTGAAGTTTTCTTGTTCAAGAAAGTTGCTTCACATCCAAGAAAATAATTCTTCCTATGGGTGAGATAAGACATAGGAGTTTAATAATCAGACTGTGTGATTGGCATTGTATTAAAACAACCACACAAGAGCCCTATGTACACGGGACCCAGGTTTGATCCCTGAGACCCTCATTGGGGGAGGAACCAACTCTTGAAACTTGTCTTTTGACCTCCATGTCCTTGCTGTGTGGACACATAACCTATTTGAGAGCACATGCATTCACTAAATGTGAACAAATTTATGAGTGTAAAAATCATTAGGTGAAAATATGGGACATTTATATTGCAGATTTAACTCACAATTATAAGCAAATAGCAACACAAGCTGGTAAGATGGCCCAGAGGTCAGAACACTGGCTGTTCTTGCAGAGAGTCAGGGTTCAGTTCCCAACACCCACATGGTGGCTCACAACCATCCACGATTCCATTTCCAGGGGATCAGATGCCTTCTTTTAAACTTGGGGGGCACAGACACACATGTGGTGCAAACACATACATGTAAGCAAAACATTTATACACCTAAAATAAATTAATCTAACACAATATCAAACAAAACAAAGCATGAAGTCCAGCATTATAAGCTAGGCTTAGTGGTGTATTCCTGTAACTACAAAACTTGGGAGGTAGAGACAAGAGGGTTAGGAATTAGGCCTTCTAGACTATCAGGTCAGTCTGGTTGTTTCAAAAAATAAAATAAATAAAAAATTTAAAACAGCGGGGCAGTGGTGGTGCACGCCTTTAATCCCAGCACTCAGGAGGCAGAGGCAGGCAGATCTTTGTTAGTTCAATGCCAGCCTGGTCTACAGAGTGAGATCCAGGAAAGGCGCAAAGCTACACAGAGAAACCCTGTCTCAAAAAACAAAAACAAAATTAAAACAACAATAACATAAAATGGATGTGATTTACAACATCTGTATTTACATCACTAGGGAGGTAGAGGTAGGATAGGAGGAATTCAAGACAGCTTTCACTACATAGTGAGTTCCAAGACAGGCTAAAGTATGGGAGACCCTATCTAAAGCAAACAAAACAATAACAATTTATAAACAAGAAATATCAGCTGGCCATGGTGGTACAGGCCTTTAGACCCAGCACTCAGGAGACAGAGGCAGATGGATCTCTGTGAGTTCAAGGCCAGCCTAATCTACAAATTGAGTTCCAGGACAGCCAGGGCTCTCTTACACATTAAAACTCTGTCTCTAAAAACAAACAAACCACAAAACACCGATCAGGGCTGAAGAGATGGCTCTGTAGTTTGAAGCACAGGCTGTTCTTCCAGAGGACCGGGGTTCAATTCCCAGCACCCACATGGCAGCTCACAATTGACTGTAACTCCAGTAGACTTCAAATACTCTCACACAGACATGTGTGCCAGCACATTTTAAAAAAAAAGAAAAAAGAAGAAGAAGAAGAAAAGAAAGGTGAGTGCCTGAGCTTCTCTCTCTAGGCCCTAGTCCCTGGGGACACATCCCTTGCCCCTCCCCCACCTGCTACAGCCCCATCAACCTGTCAGCAGCATCCTCCTCCCCCACCTCCCCCAACCATCTCTCATGGCAGCAGGGACCCCTGGAGGCACAGGTTCCACCTGCACCAATCGGAGGAAGAGATGGGTAGACCGCAGTGTAAGAATACATTCAACAACATAAAGAGCAATACAGCACCAATGGAAACTGGTGGTTCTACAACAGCAAGACCTGAACATCCCAACATGGATAAAGCAGAGGAAAACAACCTTGAAAATAACTTTATGAAGATAGAGACCCTTAAAGAGGAAATGAAAAATTCCCTTAAAGAAATCAAGGAAAAGACAAAAAATTGGAAGAAATCAATAAATCCCTTAAAGAAAGCCAAGAAAAAACAAACAGGTGAAGGAAACAGTTCAAGACTTGAAAACTGAAATAGCAGCAATAAAGAAAACAAAAACCTAGAAAATTCTGGAAATGGAAAATCTGGGTAAATGAACAAGAACTACAAATGCAAGCATAACCAACAGAATACAAGAGATAGAAGAGAGGATCTTAAGCATTAAAGATACTATAGAGGAAATAGATTCATCAGCCAAAGAAAATGTTAAATTCAGCAAATCCTTAATACAAAACATCCAGGAAATTTGGGACACCATGAAAAGACCAAACCTAAGAATAATAGGGGTAGGGAGGCAGATGGATCTCTGTGAGTTCAAGGCCAGCCTAATCTACAAATTGAGTTCCAGGGACAGAATAATAGGGGTAGAAGAAGGAGAAGAATTCCAGCTCAGAGGCACAGAAAATATATTCAATAAAATCATAGAAGAAAACTTACCCAACTTAAAGGACAGGCCTATCTGACGGTACAAAAAGGTACAGAACATCAAATAGACTGAACAACAACAATAAAAAAATCCCCTTGTCACATAAAAAGAAAACACTAAACATACAGAATAAAGAAAAATATTATACACTGCAAAGGAAAAAGGCCAAGTAACATATAAAGGCAGACCCATCAGAATAACACCTGACTCTGAAAGGCAGAAGGTCCTGGACAGATGTAATGCAGACACTAAGAGACCACAAATGCCAGCCCAGACTACTATACCCAGTAAAGCTTTCAATCACCATAGACGGAGAAAACAAGATATTACATGACAAAACCAGATTTAAACAAGGCCTATCCATAAATCTAGCCCTACAGAAAGTAGAAGAAGGAAAACTCGAACCAAAGGAAGTTAACTGCACCCACAAAAACACAGGCAATAGATAACCTTACACCAGCAAATTCAAAAAAAGGGAAACACACAAACACTACCACTACCATTAACAAAATCAAAAATAACAGGAATTAACAATCACTGGTCATTAATATTCCTTAATATCAATGGACTCAATTCACCTATAAAAAAAAAAACACAAGCTAAAAGAATGGATACAAAAGCAGGATCTGTTCTTCTGTTGCATAAAAGAAACACATCTCAACCTCAAAGACATACATTACCTCAGAGTAAAGGGTTTGGAAAAGATTTTCCAATCAAATGAACCTAAGAAACAAGCTGGTGTAGCTATCCTAGTATCTAACAAAATAGTCTTCAAACTAAAATTAATTAAAAGAGATGGAGAAGGATATTTTATATTCATCACAGGAAAAATCCATCAAGATGAAGTCTCAATTCTGCACATTTACGGCCCAAATACAAAGGCACACACATTTGTAAAAGAAACATTACTAAAGCATAAATCACACATCAAACCTCACACACTAATAGTGGGGGACTTCAACACTCCACTCTCACCATTGAACAGGTCTGTCAGAAACTTAACAGTGAAATAAGGAAACTAACAGAAGTTATGATTCAAATGGATTTAAATATTTACAGAACATTTTACCCAAACATAAAAGAATATACCTTCTTCCCAGCACCTCATGGAACCTTCTCTAAAACTGACCACATACTTGGTCACAAACCAAACCTCAACAGATACAAAAAATTGGAATAACCCCCTGTATCTTATTAGACCACCATGGCTTAAAGTTAGAATTGAACAACAAAAATTACAGAAAGCCTACAAACTCATGGAAACTGAAGAACACTCAACTGAATCACCACTGGGTCAAAGTGGAAATAAGAAAGAAATTAAAGACTTCCTAGATTTCAATGAAAATGAATGTACAACATACTCAAACTTATGGGACACCATGAAAGCAGTGCTAAGAGGAAAGTTCATAGCTCTAAATGCCTACATAAAGAAGTTGGAGAAATCTCACACTAGTGACTTAACAGCACACCTGAAAGCTCTAGAACAAGAAGAAGAAAACTCACCCAGGTGGAGTAGACACCAGGAAATAGTCAAATTGGGGTCTTATATAAACAAAGAGTTGGTTCTTCAAGAAAATCAATAAGATAGATAAACCCTTATCCAAACTAACCAAAAGGCAGAGAGAGAACATCCAAATTAACAAAATTAGAAATGAAAAGGGGAATATAACAACAGACACTGAGGAAATCCAGAGAATCATTAGGCCATACTTCAAAAACCTATACTCCACAAAATTGGAAAATTTAAAAGAAATGGACAATTCTCGGATAGGTACCACATACCAAAATTAAACCAAGACCAGATAGACAATTTAAATAGACCTATTACCCCTAAGGAAATAGAAGCAGTTATTAAAAGTCTCCCAAGCATGGCTGGAGAGATGGCTCAGCAGTTAAGAGCACTGACTGTTATTCCAGAGGTCCCAGCAACCACCTGGTGGCTCACAACCATCTGTAATGAGATCCGGTGCCTGCAGGCATACATGCCAACAACACTGCATACCCAATATATAAATAAGTGAAAAAAGCCCAGGGCCAGATAGTTTCAGCACAGAATTCTACCAAAAATTCGAAGAGCTAATACCAATACTCCTCAAATTGTCCACACAACAGAAACAGAAGGAACATTGCCAAGCTCTTCTTATGAGGCTACAGTTACCATGATACCCAAACCACACAAAGATGCAACAAAGAATTACAGACCAATCTCCCCCATGAACATTGATGCAAAAATAATAAAATATTGGCATACCGAATCCAAGAACACATCAAAAAAATTATCCACCATGACCAAGTAGGCTTCATCCCAGGAATGCAAGGATGGTTTAACATACAAAAATCTGTCAATGTAATCTACCATACAAACAAACTGAAAGAAAAAAAAACATTATCATCTCATTAGATGCTGAAAAAGCCTTCGACAAAAATCCAATACCCCTTCATGATAAAAGTCTTGGAG